TGAGAACCCAAGACCCATGATGACTGTTGGAAACCCCCTCCCCGTTTCCCTCTGTGTCCTGTCGTCTCTCCTCAAAAGCAGGGTGTGAATTGAGGTTGTTGGTGCTACCTGCCCAGTGACTGCCCGGCCCCCTGTCTCTGAGTGCCCCCTCCCATGCCTTGTTGAGCACATCACTGGTTAAATTGGGGCACTTTTCCAGTAACAGGAGGTGACCTACAAATGAATAAAAGTTACCTCTTGATCTAGTTTAGTAGATAATGACGACAGAGAATTTTCATATATAGTAAAGAAAGAAGACAGTTTTGTGATTACGGAGATGAACCGAGGCACAGGGGAAGGAGACTGCGCCCGGGAGGCACAAAAGATCTGAGGTTGCATCTAGCAGCAACAGTTACTTGCTGTGTGTTTTGGACAACGTGCTTGACTTCTCTGGGTCTTATAAGTGGGGCAAATTATACCATGCAGACATCTTTTCTCCCTTTTTCTTCATTTCTTTTGTCTTTCCAAAGAAAATTACGGGAATAGCAGATCCTATTTCCTGTTGTTTTGGTGGAGGTGCCAATCATAGAAATATCCATCACCTGCCACCTCCCCCTTCCTTCAGTGGACAGTAAAATAGGGACATCTGAACGAGGCAGGGCTCCTTAGGATTTTGTGTATAAATGCCTCTTGGAAGAGAGACCCTCTCCCTTCCCTCTGCCGAAGTGAAATGATGAAAGTCTGGATTTCTGGGTAGAGGCTCCCTGTCCTTCTAAGATTCCACCCTTCCCCTCCCTCCTCTCTCCTGGGGTCGGGAGGCGGGAGGGGGGCGGGAATCAAGCCAAAGCTCAGAAGCAGATCTGTAAGGAGGGAAGCACAACAGCAGGTGTTTAAGTTTATTTTGAATCCTCTTTTGTAACTGTTATTACTTTTTGATTTTGATTTTGATTTTGGCTTGGGTACTGCGTTAGAACAAAAGGGTCTTTAAAGGTTGCTGGGTCAACTTTTGTTGTTTTCCCGATGAATAAAATGGGGTCAAGGGAGGCAGTACCTCCCCTCAAGCTTCCGGCTTCTAAGGCAGGACTGACAGTGCAGGCTTTGGACTTGAAGGCTGGAGCTCCTGCCTTCGTGGCCACAGTGGTACCTCAGCTATCTGTTAGGTTAGTCAAGTGACTCACAGGCTGCGTATGAGCATGATTCCCAAGTCACTAGATGGTGTCTCCCTCACCTCACTGTCCCCAAATCCTTATCTTGCTCTCTACCCCTCATCAATCCAACGGTGTCTGGAATACCACTGTGGTACTGATTCCTTTGAGCTCTTTTCTTGGTGCTTCTTACGGAAGTGGTAATACAGAAAACTAATTTAAACTACTGGATGAATTCCTTTTAAGACCCTCTTTCATCAGGAATAAAAAGAAAGAAAGAAAAGGGCTTCCGGTACCTTGGGAGAGTGGATTCGAGAAGGGAATAATGTATGGGAAAGAGTCCAAAAGAAGGAAAATGGTATACAAAGGGGAATTCGGTGCTCCTGAAGACAGACTGCTTCACTTTTAGAATCTTCCTCTTCTCTCCATCACCATATCTCCCTTCTTTGTGGTCCTACATAGAGTCAAATTTTCCAAAGCTGCAGAATCTACCTCCTGCTTCAAAGGCTGAAAATGCAACTCACTTTCCCAGTTTGCTTGCAGCTAGAGCATGTGATCTATGCCTGACCAGTTAGACATCAAGGAGACTCAGGTGGCGTTGCTTCTGGGAGGGTCTTTTCTCCTTGATAAAGGAGAGGTGCACAGGGGAAAATCTCTTTTATTTCTGCTTTTGAATGTGGTAACACAGAGACATGATAGTTGGAGCTGTTGCAGCCATCTTGCCATCATGAGGAGATATGTCTAAGACAAAGGCCACCACGTTGAAGTTTATGATATGGAAGGCTGCAAAGACGCAGGGTCCTAGATGACACTGTTTCTGTACAGAAATAACCCTAGTACAGCCCAACCACTGGATTTCTTGTTATATAAGATAGTGAATATTCTTTATCATATAAGCCACATTTAATTGGGTGCTTCCTTTCTTGCCACCCCAAATCATTCTATTACCGTGTCTCAGACTTGTTTCTAAGAAGTATCCTTAATGGAATATAGTTTTGTCTCTAAAATAGAGAGTTTTTTAATGTTAGTTTGCTTTTTTTTTTTCATTGCTGGAGGTTCTATTTGGTTCTTTTCAAATCTAGTGGGTGACTTGATACTTTCCTGTCCCATGTAGCTATCTTTGACCTTGTCTTTTATTTCTGCAAATATATTATGCATGCCTACTGTATAAGATGTTCCTGATAACTCTACTCTCTAAACTCATTGCAGGATTATTTCTGCTGGCTGCTATTTCTGCTTGTTCTTCATAGAGCCTTATTTCTATTTATCCCTGGTTATCTTTGATTATATGCTGTTCATTGTACCTGAAGAATAATTGTAGGAGTAATTTGAAGTCTTGGGTAAAGGTACCTTCCTCCAGTGAGGATGTGTGTCTGAATTTGTCAGGTGTTTGGGGATCGCCTTAAGCCAGGTTCGAGGCTTGAGGTTTCCCAGAACACCAGACACTGGCTCCTGGCTGCAAATCCACAAAGCATTGGTTACTTCTGGTTCACCTCTTCCCTGAGTCTATAGGGCCATGGCGGGGTGGGGGGTGGGGGGAGAGGGGGGACAGGTCTCTGTTATTATAGAGGGGGTCTCTAATTAGCCTGCCCTTTTGATTTCTGCCTCCTTTTTCCCACAAGACCATCAAAACAAAAATTCACATTGCTAGAATCAGCTAATGCTCTTGGTTCACAAGTGACTTCTGTGCTCCCCTTATCTGTTTAGGGTCCTGTTTTCCCTTCAGTTTTGGCCTGCTGGTTTCTTACTGTGTATCATTAACTCTTAAGTGCTTGTAAGATACTCAATTTATTCAGCAAGTTTTCTTGTTTTCCAGAGGAGGGCTGGTCAAAACTAACCCACCGTGAACAGAATTGCAAGTTTTTCTTTGTTCTTTTGCCAAGTTCTCCGTCGATGACGAAACTGTGTCTTCAGGGTCCTCATCAGTTGGTTTTTCCTGTCCATGGGCCTGGTATTTCCTTGCCTGTCCCTTCTGACTGCTTTGTCCTACTCTTGATTTTGCTTCCCTCCTGACTTTTTTTAAATTTTTTATTTTTTAAAATTTACATCCAAATTAGTTAGTATATAGTGAAATTCCCTCCTGATTTCTAGCCTTCAACCTGATTTCTGCTTGCCCTGACCCCTGGCACTTATTCATTCCGACTTCTACTGGGGATTTCTGTGCTCACTTGGGTATAATAGGGTCCAAGCTACTCACCCAGCTCTTGATGCCTCAGCTGAGTCTGGATCCAGGACCTTATATTTGCCAACATTGGCCCCTCAAGTGCCTCCCTTCTTTTTTATTTTTTTTTTAAGTTTACTTATTTATTTTGAGAGGGAAAGGGAGAGAATGTGCATGAGCGGGAGAGGAGCAGAGAGGGAGGGAGGGAGGGAGGGGGAGAGAGAGAGAGAGAGAGAGAGTATCCCAAGCAGGCTTCTCACTGACAGCACAGAGCGAAGCCGGACATGGGGCTGGAAGCCATGAACCGTGAGATCATGACCTGAGTCGAAATCAAGAGTCGGCCACCCAACCGACTGAGCCACCCAGGGGCCCCATGCCTCCCTTCTTTATATATCCTGGCTACCCATCTGGCCTTGACTCTTCTGATTAATTCTCCTTTCCTTTCTAGAGTCACCTGCTGCTTTGGCATCACCTACCTGGTTCATGGCACCACCTTAGGCTTCCCTTGATTGAATATTTTAAGTAGATGGACTTAAGGCTGAGTCTATTTAATTACCTTGGTCAGATACAGAATCACACTGTGGGGGACCTCACGGTTGTTTTATACTAATGAGTAACTCTTAGATTTTAATCTTCCTTTAAAATGTAGACAGCCAAAGTTTATGATAAAAAAGAAATTGAAAATGGCAACAACAACCAAAAAATCAGACCTGTTCTTAAGACTTTTCTTTGGGTTTTGAGAGTCTATTTGGCCACTCACAAGAAACAAGCAGTTAAGGATAATGATAGAGGGCACAGTCTTATAAATCTAGTGGGCCCAGGCTTAATACCATTTCCACCCCTTATTAGCTATGTGGATTTGTACAATTCATCGTGCTCTTCTTAATGTGTATTTCCTCACCCATAAAATGGTGCTAATATTTCCTTCTTCATGAAGTTGTTATGGGCAAAAAGAGATAAAAAGTCATGTTTAGCACAGTTCCTGCCATCCATAATCACTCAATTAAAGGCATTATCATTATCACTGTTATTATTAACGGTAGTAGGGTCTCCCTTCCTTCCCAATACTTCACAAACTGGGTTGTCATGTGCCTGCTCATCCTTTATTCTGGCCTGTAATCTCCACCACCTGAAGCTTGACTTCATTCAGCAACAGTGTGATGGTAATTATTCCCCAATGGCCCTGGCTAAAACTCACATGTTCCTCTGGCTCTCACATGGTCACGTTTGTGTAATAAGGTGACTAGTTGAAACAAGTCCTGGTTCATGAGGTTCAGGGCTTGCAATATGAGGCAAGTTACATTCATAGTTGAAAGACGTCTTGGTTTTTTATGTCCGAGAGTTGTTTTTCAAAAGATAGGAGGCCCAACAGAAGACAAAGATCATTAGGCTCCTGCTAGGATATACATGGCCTTCTGTGTCTTCGGTAGAGACACTGAAGGATTTTAAGACTAAATGGGTCAAATCCAGCCTCCTCATTTGCCAGATGAGGAAACCAAGACTCGGAGACATGGAATGACCTGCCCAGGGCCACACAGTCTATTGGTGGCAAAGCCAGAACAAGAATCCAGATCCTGGTTCTATAATTAACCAGCCATATGGGGACTCACTTCTGATGAACAGAATGTGAAAAAGTGACACTGTGTGATTCCTGAGGTTGGGTCATAAAAAGAACATAATTTTTCCTGGTTCTCTCTGTTTCTGTCTATGTCCAGCCACCATGTTTCAAGGACACTGAAGGGGAGGTCTGCTGGGCAAGAACTGGGGCCTGTCACCAACAACAGTACCAACTTGCCAGCCATATGATTGAGCCACCCTGGAAGTTGACTTCTGGTCCCAGTCAAGCCTTCAGATGACATTAGCCCGGGCGGAAATCTTAACTGCAACCTTGGGAGATGGATGGCAGGTCAGAACCACATAGTCAAGCTTCTCTCCAACTCCTGTCTCACAGAAACTGTGGGAGATGCTGCATGTTTATTGTTACCCTAAGCTATTACATTTTGGGGTAATCATTAAGCTGTACTAGGTAACTAATATGCTATAGTAATTAATACTAATATTTAATTTAACACTAATATTTACCCAGGACTTTTCGAGTTGGAAGTGATGAAAATCCAGTTCACTGGTGAGAAAGGGAGAGAGAGAGAGAGAGAGAGAGAGAGAGAGAGAGAGAGAGAGAGA